ACGGTGATGCAAACACCCAATGAGTTCAGTGTATCAGTAATGTTTTGTTACACTGTGTCATTTATTCTAAAAGTGGGAAGCACAACTAGCAACAGAGCTAAGATTGAACAAATGTGAAGTGTAAGCAGTTTATGATATTTTATCATTATCTATATACGAGACTGTGTCCATATACTTATTAGATGTGTGAAGGCTGTTTTTTTTGTGTGATGCATAGGTGGAAAACTCTTAATTGAGAAGACTAATTGTCACCACATCTCTGAGCTGATTAATTTAGGAACAAAGCAAGACACATCAAGGAGAGTCTGACTCCAACAGTTTGACTCAGGCAGGCTGCAGAGATAATCATGTGCAGCCAGCATGTAAACGCAATCTGTGGCAGTCAGTTATTGATTTGTGAATAACTGACTATAGGGACAATCTATATTAACTTAAGGTGGCAAATGAGGTCATGCATCGCAGCGATAATCAACCAACCACACCACACAGAACTGCACATCCTGCCTAATCATCTTTACAGCTGTGCAGTAATGAATAGAATAGAAAGCAATAGAATAGAATAGAATCTCACTTACACCCAAACACTCATCATTATGTTTTTAAGCTTTGACGCCACAAACAAAGCATAACCACCTATTGTTACAAATCGTTTCCTCTCAATTTCTTCCGTCTCTGCCTCTAATGCACCTTATCACTTTCTGACTATCTTCATCGCACTCTGTCTCAGTGGATTGTTTTGGTTTTCACAGCACACACACTATCACGCACCTTAGTGGTGCAAAGGTTTGTAGACGCACACGTACACAAATCAAGCACATGGATTAGCATGATCAAACCCTTGAAAAGAGATGGAGCTCTTCGCCCAGTGGAGTAGTGTGGTTCTCTACTGGGACACATTAATACAAACATCAATACACACAGCTTTAACAAAGTAAGACACAGAGTCACATCCTACACAGATATATGTGCTGATATAGACAGAAATACAAAGATTGATGGCAGATGAGGATATACGGATGTGTGACACTGCTATGAGAAAATGGTTTGTACTCCTGGGTGACCAGGAGAAGCGATGGGGACCGAGGATTTTCATGATCCATTCACACTTTCTGAATGCTAGAATAGAGAGGAACTAGCCAAGGTCAGAGGCAGTATTCGCTATTCAAATTCGGAGTGTTGCTCACCACCCGGAGCAAGAGTCAAGGATTAATTTAGTGATCCATTCGCCACGCCTGTGCAGAGGATAGGCGCAGTAAAACGCAATGAAGAGGAAGAGTCTGAGGAGATGGAAAGACAAGGAGGGAAAAGAGGGAGAAGTGGAAACCGGCGAAGGTGAGAGGGAGGATGGAACAAAAGTGAAACGAGTGGGCAAGAAAGGGAGAGAGAGAAAAAAGATGCAGAGAGAAAGAAGTGGCTCTGCTTGTTACGCGTAGCCTGTGGAGAGAGCAAGAGAGAGAGGGGAAGAGCCCATGGTTTGCATAGAAGAGCCTCCTCTTGCCAACACCTGTGCGTGTATGTGTGTGTTTGTTTGCACACTTGTAAGAGAACGGTACACATATGATTCACTGAAAATAAACTTGAGCGGTTGTGTTAAGAGCAAGGAAGAAACGGGTCAGTCAACACAAAAGTGTGGCTTCTTGATGATGGTTCATGAATGTGAATTCCTGAACTGCATCAACAGAATCCAAAGACTGAAACCGAATGATTTTGGAGATTCCCTGAATTTTCAGTTATCACAAGGAATTTGATATTTTCGATTAAGAGTGAATGCTTCTTTAGCCTTTGGATAGCAGAAGTGTGACAAGTATTCAGAGAGAACAAATGTAGGCACAGGGAGAACATGCAAACACAGAAAGACACTAGACACTCTGTGAGATATCTGAGAAAAAAATTATCCACCCTCTCTGAGAATATCATTTAACATACATTAACTATCTATATCTATATCTCTATATCTCTTCATTGGGAAAAAATGCAGCGCTTACATTGAAATATTTAGTCCCAAATCTCCACTTTTTTATGGCACAACAGGGTTTCTGATGGTCACATTTCTAAGTCAGTCAGGCTGATTGATGGCACCTTCATACTCCTCCCCTTACTTTATAAGAAAGCATCAACCTGATGTTTATTCATTGTGCACCATTCCACTCACTCGCTCAGCTTAACAATGGACTGGAACAGATGCAGTGTGTGAAGGAATCTAAGGGTGGGAGGTTGTAGACTATCAATTTTCCAGTGACTGTAGCTGTATTAACTAATCTATTAATTTATGTGGCTCTGTGGTGCAGTGTGTAGAAACAAACTTGGAAATGACATTGTACACTTTTGATTTATGATTAAATATAACTAGAATTTTACTTCAGTTAAATTTTAGCAATTCCCTTTTGGGTGGAGGGTATGGCATCTCGAAATTAATTTTACTCACGTAACAAACATAAAACTATTGTCAGGTGATGCTTTAAACATTTCAGATTCTGAACCATTTATTTGTTCCTGGAAAACAAATTGATATAATATTGTGAAGACAAGCGGTGCATTGTTGTAAAATACTGTATTGATTTCGTACACAGCACCTAGTTAATAACCCTGGTGGTCGATTTGTTAAAGCTTAATGAGATAAGGAGGTAAAACGGTGCAACACAGTCTCTTGAGAATTTCCCTAAAATAGGATGGATGGACTTTAGAACTGAGTTAACGAGGGAACGTGATATGATGATGCCCTTGAGAGGAAAAACACATATTTTGCGAACAGTTGGATAAATGATAAATAAATTCTTTCTTCTTAAAGCTTTCACTTTTCTGCTTTATCAAACTCACCCAATGTCTAGATTCAGCTCACCGAGAGTATCAGTGAAGCTTTATCCCCTCTCAAACACTGGCATAAAAGACACTGCACTCAAACATGCAATCACAAAGACTTGTAAACAAGCGCAGGCACACAACTGACTTAAACTGGGGCTTCTAGAAAACAAATAACTAAATGACTATCATACAAAATACACAAGGACATCTCTCAGTCATATGAGTTGAAAACAAGAACAAGAATCACATTGATCTAACATTCCCTAAACTGTTGGTCAAACTGGCGATGTGACACAAATCAGACTAAAGAAGCAGTTATAACAAACAGTTCTGAACTTTGTGGGAAACAACATTAGTTGATTAGTATAAATTCAACCCAGTCTTGATTGCTGCTCAAACGTGTTAAGGGTTTTAAGCGGAAAAACCTAACACATTTGATAGCAATCAAGAATGGGTGAAAAAATGGGTTAAAAAACAGTCTAAGGTGGTAAATGGCCACTGAAATATCAGTTTACCATTCTTCTCTTGGCGATTTCAAAGATGACCATACTTTAATACTGACTTTTGACCTTTGCTGCTTCAGGAAGTGGACGACTTGTCGTAATTGATGGAACCATGAATGGAACCCCCTCAAGCAGACTTGGGTTACACAGTACAACAATGATCTGAAAGGTAAGTCCTCCTCTGAGTGACTCACAAAGAAAATTAAGGTTTTGAAGTAGCCTAGTCAAAGTCCAGACTTAAATCCAGTTTCTTAAATCCAAACCTCATACAGAGGTTATCATCAGTGGCTGGATTTCTCTGTAAAGATTTCCTCCCCAGCAATGTGAAAGACTCATTACCATTTATCATAAACACTTGATTGCAGTCATTGTTGCCAAGGGTGGCGCAACCAGTTATCATTTTATTTTGTTTAATTTTGTGTAATATTAAAATGTTTTTGATGATCTTACACATGTAGATGTGCAAATATGTAAAATAAATAAATAAATAAAAATAGCCAACAAAGAAAAATGTGTTAAAGCTAACGCTATCCAGAGCTTAGAGCCGCAAGCCAGCAGCCTCGGTATGAGCAAAGGATCAAAGCAGTTAAGAAAAAAATAATGGAGCTGAGTGAAAAAGAGAAAAGGGTGGACGTCCTGTAATCTAGTGAAGTTTTAAACATACTGTAAAATGATGTAAGTACCTGACATGTGATTTTTTTTTAAATAAATCTGTTCCATCTTATTTTGTTTGGTAAGGTAAGATTGGTCAGGTAAACTCAAAAGCTCATTTTTGGTATCTCTTTCCAATGGCAGAGCACTTTATTTATACTGTCACTTAAATGCTTTCATTATGCAAATATTATATTGCATTGAGTGGAATTAAATTTTGTGTCCATATGTTGTCACTTACAATTCTTGGAAAGAAAATAGCTTCTGGCAAAAATCGGTATTCCACAGTTGGGGCTCCTCTATGAAAAACCCAGAGAAACCTGCAGCATGTGCAGCAGTTCTGACATATCGCCAACCAGCTGCCCATATAGCCTTGTTAACACTACCTTGCGAGCGCAAACATCGTAAAATCTCTCTCATAGGCTTCCAGGTCGACAGGGAGTTTGAAGGATTAGATGTCATCCCCTCATGAACAGACAGGGATGGTGAAAGATTAGCTGTCATCTTTCAAAAGATCAGAGAGGACACAAGCACCAACTGTTCCCCTCTGTTCTGAACACAAAGGACCCATATTAAACACTGTCTGCAACAGTTCCCAGACTAATTTTATACTTGTAACAGCCTGCAATATTTTGTGATGGGTTATGTTATCCTTTTACAGATGGGAGTGATGATGTGAATAGAAGAGAATGAAATAAATCAGTCTGGGTAACAACTGCCAACAGAATTAACCACTTGACAGTGCTTCAAAATGCCACACAGCAACGACTTTAGCATTTATCACTGTTTCATTATCTTGTACAGTGTCTAAAATCAGCACTTTAAAACATCAATTTGAAGAAAAAGACCGCTCGAAGCAAGATATGATACTGTGCGTTTAAAATACGGTTACAGTTTGATCCTTTGAACAACTTCAGGTAGAAAATAAAACAAATATTTATCTAAAATGGTAATGACAGATTAGCTAAAGGGAGCAAAAGGCATGGAGAGAGAGGCATACTGTACGCATTTGTTGTTTAACCAGCTACATAGTTAAGTACTTACATGCATTGGTGACTGCAAAGCTGTTGGCAGTCTCTATGTTGTCCACATGTGGAACCAGGTTAAAGGGAGCTTCCGTAGCATTAGGGCTGGTGTTGTGAAGGAAGATAGCTAGTCGAAAAGCTGTATACTCCTGATCAGTATTCCTAATGAACAATCCACCTAGAAAGAGGGACAAAGAGAGAAGAAAAGAGGCCAAGAAGGTAAGAAACATGATTCAAAAGAAAGGAAGTGAGTTATTGTGAGGCGGAGAGGGGTCGGGTGGGAAAAGTCGCGAAAGACGGAGAGTGACAGGTAGAAGAGTAATGAGGGGAACGAAAGATAAATGGGGAGGGCAGAGAAAAACAGAGGAGGGGAGAAGTAAGGAGATAGCCAAGATCTTCATTAGCTTTGTTATAAAAGGTAATTTGTCTTTTAGCACATTCTCGCTCTCTGTCTCATGCACAAACATGAATACCAACACATTTATGGAGGCTCACACTGCAGACTGCATTGATGAAATCTGAGAAAGACAGAGAGATGGAGAGGAAAGGAGAAAAAAAGAGAAACGACTAAGCTGTCGGGAAAGCCATCAAAGAGATAATGAGTCTGAGAGGACTTAAAAGAAAACAGATCAAAAAGGGTCAGCCAAATAAAGGAGGAGAATATGCCATGAAAAAACACAGAGTAACAGAGAGCAAGCGTTAAAAGTCATTGTTTTTTTTTTTAAAAATGAGAGCTTCCCCTCATGCAGTTCAGTGAAAGAGAATGAGAAGAAGAGGTAGGAAGAAACAGAAAAGGTAGCTGTATTGCATAAAACAGGAAAAAAGGCCAAATTAACAAGAAGATAAAACTTATACAGATATGTAGGAAAAGAACTAGAGAGATAGATGGGACTGACAGGTTACTACTTGTACTAGAAAGGAAAGAAAGAAAAAAATGGGGGAAAAGCTGTTAAAGGTCATGTAATCTTTTCCATACATTCTCAATGGAAAAGATTCTGTTCTTTAACCTTGAAAAAATATGCTACCTGTAATATAACACCAGTAACTTCTAAAATCAACAGAAGAGATCAAAAATGTTATAGATATGCTAGGTATTTGCCTTCAGTGAGATATAAATGGAACAAAATATGAATTAAATAAGTGGGTGAGACAATGTTTGAAAAGCTCTGAGAGTGACCCACCCACTAAAAAGAGGAGCGTAGGGAGACATGAAGTTTTTCACTGCAGTCTAGTGAAAAACTAAGTACACCCCATGATTCAGCACCTTTAGAAGCAAAAACTTCACTTCAAAAACAACTTTATTATAACTTCATCAGTCTCTCACATCATGATAGAGATATTTTGGCCAACTCTTCTTTGCGTTACTAAAATTCATTGAGGTTTGTTCATGCACAGTTCTGTTAATGTTCATCTCAGCATTTCAGTCAGTGTGAGCGCTGAAATTTGACTGTGTCATGCTGACAGCTTGAGTCTTTTCTTTTTCAGCCGTTCTGTTGTAGGTTATTGCTATGCTTGGGATAGTCATCGTCCTGCTGCGTGACTCAATATTAGCTAAGGTTTAGCTGTCGAACAGATGACCTCCCATTTGACTCTAGAACACTTTGGTGTACAGCAGAATTTAAGGACCACTGTGGCTGAAAAACAAGCTCATTGTTCAAAACGTCTTGTCATTTGTTCAGGTTCAGCTTTGCAAACCTAAGCAATGCTGCCATGTTCTATTTTGAAGAGGCTTTCTGCAGAAAACCCATTCAGGACATACTTATTCAATCTTTTCATGAACTTTTCCATTACGCAGTCTAACCATGGTGCAAATTCACTGGGAGGTCCAATCTTTGTGGTATTTTGCCAAGTAATACCCGAATGCTTCAAAATTATAAACTGGCAAAAGGTCTCTTTTTCTAGAGGTGCTTAAACTTGCTCATGATGAGGTGATCAAATATCTGGCAGCATCTGGCATCTACTTACCTTCCTAATTCCTGTGGAAACATTAAGGGTGTACTTAGTTTTTCACAGGACTGCAAAGAGTGATGTGAAAATGTTTAGAGTTTTTTTTCATATCACCTCATATGCAAAGAATAACCCCTTGTAAACTACACATCAGCAGCCTAAGCTGTGTTAAGATAACATAACATAGCAAAATTATATCAGCTAAAACACTGAAAAAAATGGCTTTTTCACCTGATTCACTCCAACAGATGGATGGCAGCAATGAACCTCCAACCACCAAAGAAGAGAGAAAACCAGTGAGCGAAATGGTCTGTTTGACTGAACCATCTGGAATGTTGTGTTGTAAACTGTTTTAAACGTCAATCACAAATGTACTCGGCAGTCAGAAGACAATAAAATTAAGCCACAACCTAAAGGAGCTTTTAGAGCTATCGAGCAGTCAGTGCTGTTAACAGTCATGGCTTGTGTTAGGTACATATTAAAATTGTACGTATGAAAGCAACTCGCAGTCAGTCACTTTCTTGTATCTTTAAAATACTTAGCAAGTACTTGGATAAATCATTTATTTAGTGTCATAACTAAAAAAACACACCTGTAGCGCTTACTGGCAAGTAGTCCCTTGTAGGGCATTTATAAGTCCAGGCGGTTTGTTGTTTAGCTATAAGTGCTCAGGATCAGGATCTTGCAATTTATCTTGCAAATCTTGCGATTTTAACAGGTATTAGAAGGCATGAGCGCATCATTGGAGTTTTAACAGATTTACACGCTGTCCGTTTACCTGTCCGTTTACCTGTCCGTTTTTTGGAGTGATTTGAACATTTTATTTAAATTTGCTCAAATTTTAAATGGTATAGCACACAGCTGTTTAACCAAGCTGCTCAACTTATATAACCCCAAAAAGAGCACGGAGATCATCTTTCCTGATGCTCTTAGTGCAGCCGAGGTCTTAATTTAAGCATAGAGGGGATCGGGCTTTTGCAGTTGCAGCCTCTAGTGGAAAAACCTGCCACTTGATATTTGTACTGCAGTCTATACAGTCTTTTAAATCCCATCTTAAAATTCCCTTTTTCTATTTTGCCGTTTAATTCCAGTTCAGTTGGACTTCCTGTTACTCTTGAGTCCCATTAATGTCTTTTTTATGTTGTGGTGTCTTTTTTGGTTTGTTTTTAGTCACATTTAATTGTATTTATTTGTTTTTATGTTTTGTTTTGTTGTGCTTATTTTACTGAGCTAAGATTTTATCTTGTTTGTTTTGTAAAGCACTAGGTCATCCTTGTTGCTTTGTTCTATTGAAATAAAGATTGACATTGACGTTAAGATAATCACATAAATTAATTCTGCCTAACATTACGACTTGAGGAAAACCAACGTGAATTAGTTTCAACCGAGTCAGGCTCAAGTCAACTGAATTGGATTACATGAGCAGACTGTGAAGCCTTGACATTGCTTTGCGAGAGAGAGAGGAGAAGAGGGGTTGAGAAAGGAATGACAGGGGAGGAGATGGGAGGCAGAGCATATTGAACAAAGCAATTATCACTACATAACATGTCACTTATCCATGTGGCTGCATGTGTCCCTTTAATACATCAGCTTCACTCTGATTTCTAGTGTTTCTTCTACAAAGCCCAGAGAAATCATCTCCAAATATCAAGACACACGTCTGTACACATACACAGAGAAGACCTTACAGCTGGAGCATGTGTGGGAACTGCGCAAATTTCACAAGAAATAATTTTGTGCAAACATTACAATTTCATCCAAAACTGAATTGTTGTATGGCTTATGATTAGAAATTCCAAGTGGCTTGTTCAAAAATGAAAATATATTTTAGTTTTAGGGTAAAATATCCTCTGAGAGAACACACACACACGCACACACATACAAACACACTTAACACGTACTGAAACTAGATGAGGACGTCATTGCAGTAGTTTGTCAAATAATTTTTTCTACATATTCGCATCTTTATTCTTCTTTGTCTCACACTCTCTTTTTCAAATACACGTATGTAAAAAAAAATTGTCTGTGCATCCAATGGCATTACACTTGTGTGCAATGCAGAGATATGCAAATGACTTCTCAAGTCAGCCCGAGAGCCAAGTGGATGATCATGTATGTATATTGGAGTGTTTTAAGGAGGCTGGCCAGAAGGAGGGAAGAAAAGACTGCATGTGTGTGCTTTAGCATGATCGTGCATGCTTCATGCAGCATGTAGACGTATGCAAGCATGTTCACTGTGAGCATGTGTTGTTGAATGTTTAGATGCGTGCTTGACATTTGTAACTACTCAAATGCGCAGAATACACCAGGTGTGCATTACTCTAACTGTATGTGGACAGTGTATGTGTGCACATCCATGCTTGAATATCAGTGCAAATGTGTGTATGTGTGTATGCGTGTACCTGTGTGTATAAAATCAGGAAATATTTAGCGCATTAAGTTTATTGGCAGCTGTAGAGAGACAGAGTCAAGGAGGCGAATCTCATTATAGGACCTCCCAGCTGCCCCCCACAAGGAGTGATGCAGTGCATTCATTATCACACACATGCCTGGCTGGATGTGTGTATGTTTGTGCGTGAAGCAAAGAAGGGGAGGAAGAGATTCTGAGCATGTGTGGTGGTTCATATGAGTAAACCCATGATTCAGATGCAGTTAACTTCATCTCAGATCTATTAGATGGCTTGAAATACAGGCTCATCCCGCACTGACACGGGGTAACTGGAAAAGGGCAGACAGCGAGAGAGAGAGAGAAAGAGTGTGTGTGTGTGTGTGTGTGTGTGTGTGTGTGTGTGTGTGTGTGTGAGAGAGAGAGAGAGAGAGAGAGAATACTGCAGTGTCTAAACACTGAAGAAGACTAGAAGGGAACAAAGCTCGCTGAAACATTCATGAGCCCCGAACAGCGTGTAAAATACACGCAAATACATTAGAAGGACAGACAGAGTGAAAGCGTTTGTGTGCATTTATAAACCATATGAGTCACAACCAAACCAGCACTAAAATATCTTGGATTAGAAAAATAATAATAAAAGTAAGAAAAGATGCACCACAGAGGGAATGTTCCTATAGTTATATGTTCTTCTGTTCCTTCATTCTTAAGTGGATTTCTCGTGTTTTACAGAATCTTATGGTTTGCTGGGTCTTGGTGCACCTTTTTTTCATGGTGACTGCTGTCCGCTAAAAATCCACCAAAATTCCGCGTAGTGTGTCAGATCTGAGTGTCAGTGCGTAAAATCAGTAATCCTCCAACTCACCTATCTGCACTGAGCTGGGGAAAGCCCCTGTCGCCAGCCCCCAAAGGGCGGAATACACCCCGAGAAAGTGCCAAGAAAAAATTATAATCCTCATTTTTCTTTAATTCAATCCCTTCAGAAACTGTTGAGAGACATCGAGGGAGATGGGGAAGATGCGAAAAGACAGAAAAAGGCGCTAGAAAAAAAGAGACGGGGAAAAAAGAGAGAAGAAGATAAGAGAGGTTTTATTTTCCCCCGTTTCCCGGGTCGTATTCCTATTCCATGGTGGTTTCGGTCGGTTCTTTCCCTGCAGTGTCCGCTCAGAAGAAAGCTGTGGGTCCGGTGCACATGTGAACACAGGGAGAGAGAAAGAGTGAGGGGAAACTCGTAGAATGATTGGCGAGCAGGGAGAACAGCCTGCATGGAAGAACTGGACATGCGCGCCCAGTCTCTCTCTCTCTTCAGCTCGTCCGCCCCTGCTCTGTCTCTCACTCGCTCACTCACTCACCCAGGGTTAGACGGACTGTTTCTCCATCTCCTTCTACATCTTCCACCCTCCTTCTCCGACGTCTTTAGGTTTGCTTGAACCCAAATGGTAAATTCTGGACGGGTTAAAGTGGAGAGAAAAACAAAACAACAGAACTCATGTTTAATCTGTCAATGAATGATTCACAAAAGGGGTGCGCGGGGCATAAAGTCAGAAAATCAAAGTGATTAATTTGAAAATGCGACGTTTAACATATATACTGTTGGGTTTTTGGGGGTGGCGTTGTTGTTGGTGGGGTTTAAGTCCAAAGTGAGAAAGAGTGTCAGAGAACGCGCGCTGGTGAATAACTAATTACATTACGAACCCAATCCATCCTCACGCAGCGCTCCACTCCGCTGTTAGAGCGGAATATGTTTGTCCAACCTGTGCAAACCTGTGAGGGAAACCTCAAGCTCTCTTTAACTGCCGGACGCCGTTCGCGTCCCGAGTTTCAGCTAAAATCATCGTTATTTCAACGTCACGACCCCGTGAGCGCAAACATCTGCCCAGTGAGGAGAAAACTGCAAATACAAGAGAGACGGTGCGACCATTCCTTGACACGGGCTCATAAAAGTCTGAAATAATGAGATAGTCGGAATAGCTTAGAATAAGGGAATAAAACGGCGGAAAGGGAATCATAGCCCGGAGTACTCCGTGTTAGAGTGCGTTATGTTAATGCCGTATCCCATTCAGAGTCGTTTAATCTAGCCTGCCGGTAGCAGGTCGGTAAAACTGACAGACGGTCTGGGATCGCGTAGTTACACGGTGGAGAGCACAGTTTCATTTTTCCAGATGGCAAAACGAAAGGGTTGCTTCACGGCTTGTCCCAGTGAAAGATGTACTCTGCCCGTCTTTGAAGGGTTTTCCCGGTCGGTTGCAAGAACATGCGACTAAATCAAACAGCCTGGAAAAATGCGAGTTCAACATTTTCTTACATTTTCCACTATACATCTCTACCTTCCGAGAATGTTAATTCACTTACAATTAAGACTCTCTTTCCGCGATGAAGCAGCATGCAAACGGTTGATTGTATTTGATTTAAAGCTAGAGTTTTTCCATAGAAGCAAACACTCTGCATCTTATTGTAGCCTGGCCTTATTAGAGTGCTTGGATAAACAGGGTGGCATCGTTGATCTTGGCTGGTTGTTTACCTCCATCGGGCAGTATCATGTGCAAGCATTTTATATTCAAAAGCTCAAAAGCTACACGCTGAGGGTTCATGTATATTCAGAGTCCTGCAAACCAGTGTCCAGCAGTTTGAAGCCTCAAGTTCCTCCACCGCACTGACGAAATCTGTCCATGGTGCTGAAGTCAAACTGCGCTACAGGCAGGCTGACTCGTCACTGCTCTCACACCATGTGCCGCTGAGAGCAAACAATCTGCAGGTATCGCTAAAAACAATCATCACACTAGAACATAATGCTGATGAGTTACTTCCCTCTGGACAAAGGTGTGCTAATTAGTACCTACCTCCTACTGTGACTGTTACTTGGCCGGATGGCATTATTGTGTATGCCACATAAGATACACTTATATATACATTTTCTGACATTTTAATTTAGTCAGGTATGCAAATTGTAGTAATCTACTTGATAATCACTTGTTTTGGTGAAGTCTAATGTAAACTTATACATAGATATAATTATACCAAGTATTGCAATGTGGCTGTAATGGAAAGGATCTCATAGGATCTCAGAAATTCAGTAGCACTGCTTACTCTTCATATCATGTATATGTGGACTATCTATGTGAACATTTTCTAACTGTGTTGCAGACAATACAAATGCATGCCAGAATGGCCTCTGTCCAGACTAAAGCCACAGATCCACTGATCCATTGTGCTGCTTTGTACAAAAGTCACTTGCCAGAGTGAGCAGAATGTGGTGTTGGGAACCCAAAGTGAAGATATTTTCTCAGAGTTTTCAGTCCAGGGCTAAGCCATCTGTACAATAATTTGTTGCATGGTAATGGACATTTATTGTGGTTTATTTTGAGCACAGAACCACCTCATATTTAAAACTGTGGAGTGTAAATGTCCCGGTCGTTGAATTTAAGCTCACTGAATGTAATAATGGCTTTTACCACTGTCACTTGCCAAGTCACTTTCTGCAACAACGCAATGCCATTAGAAATCAACTCTGGACATCAGCGGCTTCAAAAACAACCACTTAGCTTTTCCACATTACTGATATAGTCATTTTAAACAGTGATGACAATAAATAAAACCCCACAGTAATTTTTAAAAGTTTAGTCATACAGAAAGCAAAGCTGGCAAAAGCAGGTAGCAGTTTAATAACTGTTAACTCTACGATATACATGTAAAAATGTATTTTATTAGTCAATGTAAACTGTGGTAAAATCTTCACACAAAAATATTCAGATTGTAATTTGAACATCTTCTAGAGAGGCAGAAACTTGGCATTCCTGAGTATACCCAAAAAGAACAAGTTCACCATAATAACCGACATCTGGATTCCACTGGTTTCATCTTCCAGGTGGTCCCATTTCAACGACACAAGAACACCATATGACTGAGATGTGTGTATCAGTGGCTTTATTTGTGTGTAAGGCAAATTGAACAATCAAAACAAAGCAGCCACTGAATCAAACTGATGTACCGACTGATTATTAAATCATTAAATTATTGCCTGGCCAGCTGATGTTGCAGCTCAAGGATGAAATAAATGTGAAGTGTACTGTATCCAAAGAAAAGTACGGCAATTACAAAGAATATGTGACAAAACACTTTAACTCCTTTTTTTACCAGATGATTTTTTTTTTTCAAAAACAGTTCATAAAAATATTTAAAATGTCAAACATGCAGCAACTAAATGACATTTATTGACTTTTTGAATTTGGTTTGTTTTTTCCGTTGCCTCAAAAATGCATTAGATGGATCATGACTGAGATACAATATCAGTGCTTATGTTATCAATTGTGAATGTTATAAAACATTCAAAATAAAAGGTTTTTAATTTTTAATAAAAAATATCTTTTCTAGTATTCAGTAAAAGCTACAGTTCAGTGCTCCGCTTTGCATAACCTAGTGTTTGTTGCAGGGTGAAGTTTACACAAGGCACCATGCAGAAGTTTCTTCATGAATGACCACTTTACTGTGTTGGAGGGGTTTGCATGCCTGTGTGATCAAAGGAGTTATGTTGTCAAAGGCTGCTTGTCCCTGATGGGATCTACCAAGGAAAATTTGATGAGAGTGAGGAGCCGGCCTGTGGGATATCAGGCCTCCAACCTAAAGCCAGCAGTGGGAGAGAAGCTTGGAAAAGGTATTGGACCATGTTCCTTTCAGGGTGCTTCAGGCGTAAGGGTCCCATTGCCATGGCTATTTCATCCCCGTACAAACACAATTAGAGTTTGTTTTGCACTACCAGTCAAAAGTCAGACTCATACCCAGTGGATAATGAACTTCGCCAGTGCTGCCCTTTTATCACTGATGATGTTCTTAACTTTTATGAACAGAAGCTCTGGATGCAGGCAAAGGATGTCGGGATTCTGTTGGCTTCACTGAAGGTTGACCTCCAGCGTGCACTGTTGAGTGTATAAGCACTGGCATGTTCTACTGGGAGAGAGTTGCTGGGTAGACTGAGGATATGCTGGAAAGATTATGTATATCTGCTCACTTGAGAATGCTTCAGTGTCCGCCTGGAAGAGCTTGAAAGATGTGGATGGGGAGAAGGAGGTCTGGGCATGCATGGATGGATGAAATTAACATGAGGATGCTTTAAAAATAATAACATGAATAGTTTCTTAAAGTGAATATTATTGCTTGCAAGGCAGCTGGGCTTTTGCAAGATTTGCAAGATCCTGATCCTGAGAGAATTCATCTTGTGAGACTTCACAGTATGTGTGCTACAGGCAAGAACTTTATTTTTTTTTTTGAAAGTGCCTTTCCCCGTGGCTTTTTATGCACAAATGTTCATTGCACAGAAAGCAAGAATGATGAACTACATACTTAAATACCTATAACTACATAAATGGCTGTCTGCTTGTTCTGAAAGCTTCTCAGACGTGGCTTGTTTTTGCAGGGATCAATAACAGGATTATTTTAGGCTGACCTGTGGTGGACAGCAATAGACAAAGAGATCATTTGTCACCTGTCACATACTTTTTGGACCGTTTACAAATACAAATTCCCAGCATTCAAAAGGTAGCATGTTGCATTATATATATATTATATTGTTCCGCGGCCTGGAAAGTAGACAGAAAAAATAACTAAATGAAGACGATATAGAAAGGAGAGTTTTTAGTTCTGTCTATATACTTCTGTTCTACTCATAGCAAGTCAATACAGATAATGCTACAGCAGAAAATGATTGCACATTCCCTCATATCTTGCAATATCTAGCTGTAACCAATTTCTGAATCCATTCATCAATATATACATTGCCTCTGAGGCATTCTCTTCCTCTGCTGGATTGAAGTCATTTGCTAAGTTCACAGTCAATATACCACCCCAGTAAAAACGACCGATCAACAAAGAGTCCCATAGGCTTGTAGTAAATGACACTCTCGTGTTTGCTTTTTCAGCTGACTCAAACCAGAATGGGTGTAAAGTGAAAAAGAAATTTTTACTTTTCATTCGACTGTTTCCTGAAAGTTTAAATAAGCAATCCAGTTTTAATCACTGTTGCCATATTTCATGTTACTAAATACCTTCTACTGCATTTAATTTATCATCAGTAAACTAATATAGTAAGATACACTATATCGCCAAAAGTATTCACTCGTTTGTTTTCACACGCATATGAACTTGAGTGACATCCCATAATCAATCCATAGGGTTTAATATGATGCCAGCCCACCCTCTGCAGCTATAACAGCTTCAGCTCTTCTGGGA